TTTGGGGAACACTGAATCAGCTAATGGCACCAGGGACATGTAAACGCTATGTCGTAAAACTAAGACAGCTCTCATCTTCTTATAGTGGAACATGTTTAGGGTTTAAATTGCTGCCAGCCTGTGCCATTCTGGGAAAAGCTTTTAGGGGAAAGTAAAATATTACTTTGACAATGAAAGCAAATTAAATATCTTTCTGAACAACCAGGCATAGTAATGGCATCCTCATTACGTATTATGACCCCTGTTCACAATTAAATAATGAAATTAATATCACTAAGTACTTTTAAGTAAGTATTGGTACAACAGCATGTGCACTATTGTTTAATGGGCCCATATTATGCTATTTTCTGATCTATGTTATAATGTTTCCTCATAAAAAAAATAAAATAAAAAAAAACATTCCCGGAGTTGTGTTTCATTTCATTCACACATACACAAAAAACATTGCTCCTCTGTTTTTAAACTCCATACACTTTCATTAGAATCATTTGGATTATTTCAGACCTGGAATTGTCAATCTCTACTGAACAAAGGGTATCAATTTGAAAACTACCTCTTCATGACATCACAAGGGAGAACAGAGCTTTTTGAGCTTTGGAGATGTAGACAAACTAATAACAAAACACAACTTCAGATATGTTTTTGAGGAGGTAAGAACATTATAACATATTTACAGCTCATAAGAGTCAATTTTGCATAATGTAGGACCTTTAAAGATGTTGGGGTAATCTGACCAGTTGGGGTAATCCACACCAGGGGTCAAGCACAGTGCTGAACTTTCTGGCAGATAACATCAGTCTACTGCTGATGTTTAGCTTGTTGGGGGACTTTCACAGAAGCTATTGGAAAACCATTCACTTATGATGTGCACCGTCTAACTTGTAAACAGACCAAAAATGGACAAAGACACTGCATACAGGAATCGTTGCACTGGCTTTAGTGGGCATACTGTTAGGCCTGTTAAAAAGCTCTGGTGACTAATTGCTGTCATTACTTTTAAGCCTGAGGAGATAAATCAAGAAGATAGAGATTGATGGAGTCACACATCTTTTCTGTTCGGACTGTCTGCAACACAACACAACACAAGCATGCTAGCCTCCTGTTTGTATAGATATTTAATGCTTTATAATTACAGATGTATCAACTTAACTTGATTAATGCTGCAGTGAGAATAAGGAAGTCTGTGATTATTTCAACAGTTGCTTCTTTCTTCATTTGGTTGCAGCTCTGACTAAGGTTGCAGAAATAGCCCCATCAATATGAGAGTTTTGTGAAAATGTTGGCCTTTGATTTTCTATAATTGTATTTTCACTAATCGCTCGTAGTTTAGCCAAAGGTCTTTCACTCATCAATCACCTCACAGCTTTGCTGCCCAAAAAGATCAGAGCCAGGAAATGTGATAATGTCTCCAAGTCAACTGCTCTATTGTTTTATCATCTTGTACTGGTTTTCTATTACATGAGAGCATCTGCTAGTTTGGTTAAGTGGCATTTTGAATATCAACTCACTTGGGCTGTGCTGCTATGACGACTTCCTGATTCCTGTGATTACTGCATGCTGCTGTCGCTAAAGGGCAAAGCGCTTGTTCAGATCACACCTCCATCCATTTAATCAAGTGTAATGATGCAGAGGTGTCACCACTTGTGCTGCACATGAAGTTACATAACCTTTTAAAGAGCTGTGTCTAACTCCTGAACCATCAGCATTAGAAGTTGTTTTCTTATTACTCAAAACTTAAGAACAAGCGCTGGCTGCCTTCAGTTATGAAATGTTTATTGACTCTGTTCCTGTATCCATGTAGGGTTTGTTTTACTACTGGAAACTCTTGTATGGGTTTCAGCTTTCTGTTATAGGCAATATTTTGAGCTTTTTTTGAAGACTTGTTACCATTCAGAAGAGAGAATATGTGGTTTAATACTGTTTATTGCTATGGCACCAATCCAGGTGTTTCATTATTATGAAACCCATGTATGTATGATTAATGTTGTTAGCATTATAACCAACATCTTTATCCTATCTGACAATATGACAATGGAAAAATGACAACAGTAGCTCAGTGTTTGTTTGCTAATCTGAAGGTTGGCTATTCGAAGCCTGTCCTCAACATAAGCATCATCTGTTGAGCGATCACATCCAGCGACCCACAGGTTGGCGGTCCAATTCCAGCTCCCACAGATGATTGCTGCTGTTGTGTCCTTGTGCAAGGCACTTAACTCACCTTGTGTACACTGGTGTGTGAAGGGGTGAGTGGTTCCTAGATGCTTTGAGTGCCTTGAAGATGGAAATGTGCTATATAAAATGCAACCAACTAGTTCAGGGTTTGATGTGCTTTATTTTTTTAGTTGAAATGTCATTTATTTATTGTTTGCTCATCTAGTCGTTGTATAGATATTACTACATTTTGCTAGTGTAGTGAATCAATAACCAGTTGATAATACATAAGTAAGGCAGCCTTCTTAGCCAACTGCTCCAAGATTTTTCAATATTCTGTGTTGGTTTTTAAAACTTTATAATATATTGTACTCATTCATTTTTCATTTGCCGTACCTTACAATGGCAGTTCATTACTCACTAATATTTAATCATCCAGCAGTCTTTATTATATGCCATTTGAGACATTTGTCACTGATATATCTAATGTCAGAAATACACCAACTGGATTCAAATTGTGAATGCCTCCAGCAGGTCATGGTTCAGTCCAATATGACGAGAGAGCATAGGGAAACTGACTGTAATATTCATAATGACAACTGACTGAATAATTGATGAATGAGGAAATGAAAAACTAAGCTGGTAAAACAAAAGGCTTTAGGTGTTTGGGCAGGCTGATTTGTTATGCACGCTTATCAAACTGACAAAGTAGAAAAATGTACTCTTCTGTGTATGAGGGATTGTAAGTAGCTATTTTATTTATGCCTGCCTGTCCCCCCTCTGTGTAGTAATACAGTGCGCAAGAGCACTGCACTGTCAGCGAACCAGGAAGCACAAAGAAGATTATTAAAGTTTATTGTCCACTTCTGGAAAATGAGCCTAGCAGGATTTTATTTTACTTGCTGGAGATAAGAAAGCCAACTCAAGCTTTAAACACAACATAGAAATCAACTTAAATGGGCACTTTGTCAGAGTCAGAGAACCAGAGAGTCAGAAATCTTCTTTTCAAGTTATTTAAATTTAATGACATATGCGGACTGATGCAGTAAAATCTGGGTATAGACGTATAAGGAACTGTGATTGGTCTTACACAGAGGTTCTCAAACTCTCAGTGCTACTATTTCTTATGATATGCAATCCCAGTCCTCCTGTATCAATAAGGATGAGTTAAACTGATGCTGTTATAGACAATAGAGGGTCCTTGGGATATTTTCATTTGATAAGGGGTCCTTTGCTTCAAAAACTTTGAAAACCCCTATTTAAGCACAATTCAAACTCCCTGCAGCCAAGTGCATTCTTAATTTGCTTTTTATTTAATTATTTTTTACCAGAAATCTGCAAATTTACTTAGTTTGTCCTGAAATTGTTGAAGAACAGTAGACAATGCTATTTAAACAACATTTGCATTTATTGTTTTGATTTGTTTAATTACTTGGACCCAACTTGTGCATCGATTAACCCAAATTCATATTTGCCTCTACGTAATTTGTTGTTATGTTTGTGCATTGTTGCCACATATTAAAAAATGACTTTGCCCAATATTGATCTTGTCTGAAATAAAACCATTTGTATCCTTGCTTGAACTCTGGCTGCATGCATAAACCAATTCCCACACAGGACATTGGATTTACCCTTGAGTGAGTAATAAGATGCTGCAGCTAAAGTTGGGACAGAGTGGGGCAGGGACTGAGTGAGGCATGGATAGAGTGAGGCAGGGAGAGAGTGTGAGAGGGACAGAGTTTGGCAGGGACATGAGGCAGAGAATTGGGGCAGGAATGTGGGGAAGGGATTGAGTGAGGAAGAGACAGAGTGGGACAGGGACAGAGTGAGGCATTGAAGCTCAGAGTGCCTCCGAAAGGTTTGTATGCCCTTTACCTGCAAATGCTACTGTCCACTGTAGTCCACTCTGCCTCAAATCCTCTCTATCTTTGTGATCCATAAAAGAGACAAGCAATCAGACAGAGGGAAGAGGTGGCTAAATCTACTACATTTGTTATGCCTTTGAGTTGCAATTTACTTCTAATTAATTGTCTTATTCACACATATACATAATATATAATTTGCTTGTGGTTAGAGGAAGCTGCTTCCCATTTAGTGAATGAGTTCTGTCAGAGCTATGCATCTCCCGTTATGCCCTGTTCCCTCTGAAGGTGATTTGTCGTGCAGACTTGCCTTGCCAATGGATTACTGTGGCTGAGATCACATTTTCTATTTATTTCAGTTTAAAACTCTGGCATATTTCTAAGTAGTCAGTGGTATCTTTTTACACTTTTTGCTTTTTCTTTTCATACTGTTTCTTCACTGAGTAAGTTATGCAAACTACTAGTATGTTCCTGAACTTGTTTTCAATGACATCTGGAAGTGTTACAGATTATACTTGTTTTCAAACATTCTAAGACAGGGGTTTTTGAAGCCAGAGACCCCTTCTCAGTATGAAAACATCCCAAGGACCTCTCATCATCCTCACAATAGCATCGGAGTAAAACTGAGAAGTTTAAACCATGTATAAAATATATTTGGATGAAAGATATTTTCCTCATAGTCCTTACTGAGGTTTGGGACTGAATATAATAAGAAACAGTAGTATTTAAGTAATGGTTAATTACAATTTTGGGGAGACTAACTGGATGGACTGCTAATTTTACCTATAGGACATTTTCTTATAATATAACTGGGGATAAGTTCTCTAAGATATCTGGACTTCTGCTTATTTCTTTTCAGTCTATTTTAATGTGATTGACTTTTGTTTGACTCTCTCTTTTGTTTGATAAACAGCCCAAAACTTCAAGTGAACTGAATACGTCAATAGAAATCACTCTGGTATATAATGGTGATGCTGTGTGTTTCAGGGAGAAGATGCCATTCCATCATGTGACGGCTGGTCTGCTCTACAAAGGCAACTACCTGAGCCGCTCCCTCAGTGACAGTGACAGTGACGTACTAGCAAGCATCTCTGTGGAGGAGTTGGATGGTAAGGTCCCTTTAATATTTATATATGTGTTATATATGTGTTTATATATGTGTTTCATCTTAACTTCGTGCACTTCATGAAATTGCTAGATCTAACTTCATGATGAATAGTTATTGTTTCTTATGATAGCTGTAATTGTCTGTTTCTTCTGCCTGAGTGTAAGTGTTATTTTAAATAAAAGTTATTTTGTGTGTAATATCTATCCAAGAAAATAGATAATATTGTTACTTTGCTCTGTGGTTTATATACAGTATTGACCATGAGAGCTGAAGGAATACAGCGCATACAAATGTGCACACTGTATAACTTTGCATTATCTGTACTTAAAATTTTGGATAAAATTTTCTGAGAAAAAATGAACCTAAGTTTTCCTTGTATAATTCAGATTGACTTTACAATACATTTCTAATCCTTTCTTTTTTAATATGATGAGAAGTTTGCAGGCACACCTTAGATTGTATAAAAGAATATATACGGCCTATGGGACACACACAAGTCCCAAGTGGGTACAACTTCAGGTAGCTGAATACCTGTATCATGGTACAAAGGGAAAATGTTAAAAATATTATTGAGCTGAAATATTGACCAATATATGGTATACACTACAGTAAACCAAAGGGCATAGAGAAAAAGCACAATCAAATAGGTACAATAAAGTAGTATAGTATTAAGTGTAGTAGTGTAGTACTAAGACCGGGTCTAGAGACTAAACTATGACTAATAGTATTCAATTCTCTGCTACAATTCTGAATACTTTATCTATAATCCATCCTCCCTCCCAGAACCACAGATGAGAACCAATATTCCTAGCCCCATATTGATGGTGTGCTTATAGTTTGATAGATTTGCACCTCTGTTCTTAGGGGGAGGTTGAACTGATAATCCAGGTTTTGAACAGAGACATATTGATTTGCGTGGCCCTTGTGAGAGCGTTAGTGTATGTGTTGCGGTTTCCTGGGCGATGGCGTCGTAATCAGACGTAGCCGATTGGGAAAATGCATTATTCTGTGTGCAGCTTATCTGGAGGGCACCGGTATCCTCTCACTCCTCTCTCTCTCTCTCTGTCGCCTCTGAAAACCTTTTATGAACTCTTTTGTTTTGAATTCGAGTGCAGAATAATAGAGGCGGTATGTACTACACAGCCCTGATCAATAACAGCGTGCCACAGTCAGCGCTGGCAGCAAATACTAAAACATTATCACAGCATTAAAAGGGTCTAGGCCAGAGCACTCTTTCAGGGTCAAACTTTAATGTGCTGCAAAATAGTCCCAAACAACATTCTTTATCATATTTGTAGTATATTATGGAGGGAAAGTAGGAGGTAATTGGAAAGTAGTAGTTCTTCAAAGTCAATATAAATCAAAGGGAAGTCCAAAGTTGTTCTACTGTCTTCTCCTTAAAGGAACTGCTTTATTGCTTATAAAGGTACAATCACAACTGAGCCTGCAGGACTATGAGTGCCTAAATGTACAGATAGAACACATACATTTGTTTTCATTCTCATATGCCTCATGTGAAAGCTCAGAGCCTCCAGAGTTCACTCACTGAGCTGATGTAGTGTACTTATCTCATTATTGATCAATCTCTGAGTTACTGCCCTTTGTCTTAATAACATGCAGCTTTACAAATGTTCAAAATCCTTCATGTTATGTTGAAATTACTTCTTTTTAATCTAAAATAATTTTCCTGGAAAGAAATGCAGAATTAAAAATACTTTATACCTTTAAAACTAGTGTTTAGGTCTAGCTTTCTAGATTATAACTTGATCTCAATGAAAGTGGATTGCTGGAAGAATGCTTTTAATGGGTCCATGTATCCCCATTTCCCCTTTAGTATTGATTGTAAAACCCATTTAAACTTTCTTCTATTTTAGGATATTTTCCCAACGGTCAGGGGACACTATAGTTCTGTTTAACCTTAATCTAACATTTATCAGACACTCAGATGATGAGAATGCTATGGTTCATTTGCCTCTTGATCCTCTCTCTGAGTCCCTTAAGAGCAAAGTTTGTCTAAGCCCAGAGAAAGCGTTATCCACTACAGCCCTGCTCCAACTTTCCTAAAAGTTTGCCCTACAAAACTACAACTTTAGTATTTTTTTTGCAGAATACACCATTAAACGTATCTAATTGATGCTGTGAATTGCTTTCTGTATCAAATTTGTTTTAATAAAATCTTTAAATTGATTTAGCGTCAGTGTGAAAGCTGCTGTAGCTGTCTAAATATAATTAGAGTGACATTTCCAGTGGTGGAACTATATTGTGTACACTGTAGTCAGCATTATACAGTATGTAGCCGTCAGACTGCATAAGGCTCTGTCTCACTGTGCTTGGAGGGTTTCTACAGTGGCAGGCTGCAGCACTCCTCACTAAACAGAGGTGACATTTACTTTAGTAACCTTTTAACACAACTGTACTTCTTGGAGTAGTTAGCTCCAACAACATACTTTTACTCCAACTGAATATATTTTACAGTGTAATCATACTGTTATTTGAGTAAATGTTCTGGGCACCTTTCTCACTGTGAATGTAGTCATAAAATATCTGAACATTTGGGTTTCTTACATTGCTCCTTCGGATATGATTTAGTTTTTCTCATTTTGTCTGATTACCAGATTCTGTTCATTATTTAATGTTCTTCCAATTACATTAACATCATAAAATTAAAATTATAAATCAGGTGTTGCTCTTGAGTAGTTTCCCCCAATACCTTTTACTTTCCTGGACCACTACTTTGTATTTTTCCTTGAGTAATATTATTTGGATTTAACTTGCTCTTACTTGAGTATAAGTTTTGACTACTCTACCCACCTCTGTCACTAAACCTTCATAATGAAATACCCCTTCACACCAAACATGGACTGTTTTATTAAAGATAAAGTAAAAGAGCACTAGATTTTGTCCCTGGAGTGCACCATTGTGTGTGAAGACTTTATCATCTCTTTGTCTCTTTGGGCATTTATGTAATATTGATTTGCATTATTTAATCACTTGATCCAAAAGGGTTTTAAGGATCTAGATCTGTAGGTTTAATATCACAGCTACAATAGTATAAACTCCCCAAAGAAATGAATTGATTTTATGGAAATACAGTTGTGATTTACTTCTTCACAGTCTGGCTGCCAGTTCCTTTCTTTGTTTTGGCAGAAGCTCTGAATTTGCTTTAATATATTTTGCACCAACTGTATGTCTGAAAGTAGACTGTGCTCTTGCATCATTGACCTGTCATTGTGAAGAGTTGTTCCCATACATTTCAAGTCACGGGCTAAACTAAAAGTAATTTATAAATATTAAAGCTTCATTCTTGCCCATTATATACTCCGCACTGTTGGTGGTGGTGACTGGTGAGTTAGTGCCCTGACAAATGTCCACATATAAAAAAGTCTAAATCCCTGACAATGGAAAGACTAACGTGTGTAAATGTCAGGTCAGGTCAGATATAACTTGTTCTCATAGTATTCTCATAGTATAGAATTAATAGTACCCAGAGACTACAAAAGGGTATGATGTTACTCATTGTGTTCGGCACCTGTCAAATGAAGCTTTTAGAGGCTAGAAGTTCATTTGGAGCTCCATATTAGGGATAGGACTTGATTTATGGATAAAATAGTGAAATAAAAACACCAGGATCATGTAGAGTGGGTTAATATGGGTTAATAAGTAAATTGGAGCCAGAGTCAATGGAACTAGGAGCACCCCCATGCTCATTCCCTGTTTGGAACACAGCAGCTTGCAAAGTAGCTATGCCCATGTTTACAATCTATGTTAGTATGAGAACATATTTCACACCTCTGACTAACACAAATAAGCTAGGAGTCACATGGGTGAGGATGAGGTGTTTTGCCCAAGGACATAAGAGCAAAGTTAAGGGGGCACAGCAGAATTTAAACCGCAAGCCTTGAGTTTTGAAAATGTGAAGTTGTAAGTGTGCTTTGTCCACCAAGGTGCTGAACTATTATGTGAAGGGAAAGTAAATGAATCTGGACTTTTATTATGCATCCTCTAGTTTGAAGATAAATCATTTAAAATGGTTAAAGCTGCATTACCCAATTTCAGCTGCGAAAGGAGTGGATGTTTATGAGCTCTGGCTGTTTCCAATTTTGTTGGAAAGTGCATCTTTTATGATATTGGTATGATATTATAAAGGATGCACTTTCAATATAGATATGTGTTAAAAAAGATAAACTGTACATTAAGTTGGGAACCCCACATTTACATAATGCAGGTAAATCTTTTTTCTTTTCTTTTCTTTTCAGACTATGTCTATATCACAGCACACTTTAACAACTTAAAGAAACAAGTCAAATCATTAAACATAATAACCTTTCATTAACATTTACCTGAGAGTGTCTTGGTCTTCCACTTGTGCTGCTGTAAAATAGGTAACTGCAGTGCTGCTTTGTGTCCTTTTAGTCTAAATACTGTCGCTCCAAATGCCAGAGAGCATGCTGGGAAATGTCTCAGTATTTCAGAGCGTCCTGATGGATAGAGGCAGTTGTGCGTGAAATGGACTGAGGTATTTGAATGTGTGAACCTTGTAATTCATTCTAGACCAGATTCACTGATGGAAGTAATCAGGCTGAAAATAACAAACGTTACAGATCTAATACCACCCCTATCTCATGATGTAAATGAACTCAAGACTGCATAGTAAAGCACAGTATATTTGAGGACCATCTTGTTGCTGCATTTTAGTTTTTGTTTTGTTTGTTTTTTAATAACAATGTTTAATAAGTTGATAGTGTTGAAACCCTTTGAACTCATGGTTGCCTTAACAGCAGAAAGCACATTTACTATAGGTTGTGTTCACGTGACATCACAATATCATTTATATTTTAAAACTGAGTGCCTCTGACCTATCCACAAAACATATAGTTCAACACCTTCTCTGTAGAGATGCATCGATAAGTTACTGGAATCAGATTTTGGCGCTGATGTTGAATATTTTGATGGAACAGATATCAGTTCAATATCAATATCCCATTTTGGTTTACAAATTGGTGTAATAAAACAATTTACTGGCTAGTATTGGCCAAAACTACCCTGTAAAGATGTTCTGTGGTTAAATGATAAATGATAGTTACAAAATACACTTGATAGATTTTTTCCATACGTTGTTTGTGTTTAAAGAAAATAAATTATGTATTCAGTCTATGCTCTAGTGTCAGTTTTATATCAAGTACCAGCAGATACTTAAGCCAAAGTATCAACTTCTATACTGGAACAGCAAAAGCTGGATTAGTGTATTCACTACTTCTCTGTCAGTGTAACTAAAAAGTGAAATAATTTTTCTACAATTCTTTCAGAAAGAGGTGTCTTTTTAGGTGATTATTAGAAACTAAGATGTGATTATTGTCAGAAAGGAATTAAAACTATACAATTGCCATGACAGGGTTATGGAGCAGATCAACAAGCTGATCAAAAGCTTAGATATTTATCTCAAAAACAGTGAATGTCACATAGAGTTTAATCGGCCTCATCCAAAATAAAATTAATGTTTTATATCAGTTAACTCAGTACCAAATTCTTTCCACAACTCCAAATCATTTTATTATTTCTTGTCATGTTTTACATTGTCATAATTTGCTTTTCTAAAACCCTAACACAAACATACAGATTGCAAATTACAGTGATCCATTACTTACTCTGCAGCAGCTGTTATGCTCCAACATATTGTTATGATGCAGGTCAGAGACTGTGCCCTTCTCTTATCTAATGTAGGCGCTTATTGTCATCGACAGCCTCTCCTACACTTTATGGGACGATTCATAATTCACGCTCCATTAGTATTTGTGCTGTTCTGAATCATTTGCACACAGCCTGGCATCAGCAGCCCATAATAATCACATGATGGAGAGAGTCGGAGCACAGTCACTGGATCAGCTTCAGTTATTTGTTAGTTTATGTGTTCAGAAAATACAGCAAGTGATTATTTGTATTAAAATGACTTTGAACAGCAGTTAATGTTGTTGATGCTGGGGTTAAATCTGTCATAATTGCTATTACAATTAATCAAATTTTCTCACAAGCATTGCGATTGTGATTCAAGTAGACTTTTCAACCTCATCAGGGAATCCTTACATTGGAGAGAGAACACTGAAATACAAATTACTTAATCATACGGCTCACACTTTTGTAGAGGCTTAAACTGTGGTTGGAAAGTGTAGTTTTTATTTTATGTTTTTATATAAAATATCAGAATGTAGTTTCCATTCAGGATCATTCAAATTACAATTTTAGTACAATATAATACATTACAGCCTCCTGTAGAAGAGGATACAGAGGACCTAACCTGTACAGACAGAACCTAACCGAGGGACTGTGGGGATGGTTTGTTTTATTTGTTTTGGGGCATCTTTCACATGTCCGCAGTGTGGTAGTGTGGTGTCCAGCTGATGTGAGAATTATTCACTGTTCAGCATTGTCACGTTCCAGTGGTTTTCAAGCAACATTCAATCCCCCTTATAAACAGCAACCTCTCCTATCACATGTTGTTACATTCTGCTTGCATTTTGTCTTATACTGTCTGTAAACATTGAGATTTTTTCACAATGTTATTCCAATCATGTTTTAAGGTACAGCATTAGTCTTTCCTGATGCCTGTGCTATATTTTAAAGCAAGAAGCAATTTCCTTTATGCACAGAGTTGTACCGACTCTTTCAAGTGGATGGAAATGAAAATGATGCATTATCTCAGACTGCACAGAGTGGACAATATTTATTTTAGAGCTGGATTAGTCAGAATGAAGTCAAAGAATAATGAGCTTCTTGTTGTATTAACTTGTCTTTAAAGTGAACAGATTTTGCTGCACTGCATGGCTTATCATTTTATCCACTGAATAAACAAACTTGTTTTGAGAAAAATACGTTTTCATGTGAATAGGCAGCACCTGTAATAGTATTTACCCTCTGATGGATATTATGTTGGAAAAAGAACTTTTCATTCATTTCTATCTCTAGTGGGTAGACCTATCATTGTTAATGCTGCATGAAAAGTGTAAATTATATATTCTGAACGAGGAAATGTCCACTGTTGTAGAATAAACTGAAGTAGTCTGAGAGTTGTAAGAAGAGACGTGAGGCTGGAGATGTATATTCACAATCAGTACGGGACCCAGAGATGTGAACTCTTAAGTCATTGTGATAGTATTGTCTTTTTTATTGCTGATGGTGTAGGCTAAGGTTACAAGGACTGAGCTGGCATTGTGGGGCAAGATATGATGAAATGCAATTTGTCTAACACTCATAAAATCCTTAAAGTAGGGAAGGAATCATTTGCCTAAAACCCATGAATACTAATCAAATATTCCTATAGGAAATAATGCATTTGCCTATCCATCAAAGAAGATGGGGCAACATTTCAACAGCAGTGGCCAGAGAGCAATTATTGTACAGCATGGATCTTGGTCCCATATCTTTAGACTCCACTTTTTGGATTACTGGAAACAGGAGCGTTTGGAGGAAACTAAAATGCATTCTTAATTTGTGAAGACACAATGCTGTCATTTATCGTTTCTATGTTAAGATGCAACATTTTTGTGCCGGCAGAGATTCGTGAGGCGTTCAAAGTACTGGATCGAGATGGGAATGGCTTCATCTCTAAACAGGAGCTGGGTATGGCCATGCGGTCGCTGGGGTACATGCCCAGTGAGGTGGAGCTGGCTATTATCATGCAGAGACTGGACATGGACGGTGAGAGACACACATCACAACTGTCACATATGCATGACATTGAAAACACAAGTTAAAAACAACTTTGTGTAATCCCTCATTTATCCAGGAGTGGTTCAAGAAAACGCTTCAAAGATACCGCCTGAACACTTTTCTGAAATCCGAACTCCTCCCTCTAGGGAAGGACTTATAGAGCACTAGTTTCTCAGGCCAGTGCCATCATAAGGAAAATTACCTCTGGATTTCATTTGAGTCTAAAGTCATCTTAAATTGAAAAAAATAAATTAAAAAAATACTTTGAATACTTTGAAATTAGGTAAAATATTGTTCTGATAAAGCACAAAATAGGGGAAAGAACAGGCTATTTTTGTTATATTGTTTTTAACTAACAGTTTTATTGCTGCTCTTATTGGGTCACTGCTTTGCTCTGAAATAGTAATTTGTCTCTTCATAATTTATTTTAGACCTGTCATGTTTTGTTATTCTTTTAAAAACATATTTGATGGACTAACTAACCCGAGAAGGTTTTTAGTGTGAAACTACAGTATTATTGCATTTGATAAGTGCTTCTCAGTTGGTGTGAGGAGACAGATCTCTTGCTAATGTTGAAGCATAAATATAAATGTTTAAAAAAGTGTCTTTCTTCTTTGCGTGACTCATGGCGTCTCCAGAGATGGTTAGAGCAGAGTGCCTCAGGATCTGCTGCTGCTGTCTGATACTGAGGAAGGACAGGTTGTATTTATTACCAAGCGTTCGGTCAGTTTACTGGTGGAGAGAAAATAGTACACATTTTCTGTTCCCACTGGCTTCTGTCTTTTTGGCTTTTCTCTGTGAAGAAATGCCAAGGTTTATTTATTTATTTTGTGGTATTTTTGCATGTTTTCATCCAAACTCTGTCCTTCATATGCCCCTTCATTTGTTTTGCACTCCACTTTGATGGCTTTGTACCACATGTTTGCATGTAAGCCAATATGTAAACTTCTGATTAAAACAAAACAAAAAAATAATATTATGCATGCAGATAAAGGGGTGGGATATTGGAGAGGTTTTTCTGTTTTGTTAAAAGTGCATTGTGTAACTTTTTGGTTGGGCTCCGTCACTTGCTTGTTTCTATAGAAATGTAATTGCTCTGCCTTGAATGTTCTGCAGTATGACATTAAACAGCACTGCCTTTCATTTATTGAATTACAGGTGGTTTTACTGTGAGTGGTTACGGGTTCCTCCACCTTTAAATATTCAAAAAAAAAAAAAAAAAAATTATACATGCTATCAAAATTAGACATTAGCAATAAAAATACTACTCTTTCTTTAAATATGCATACTTCTTGTGATTGCATGGAAATCATCTTCAAATGAAACCAAGACTATTACTAATTCAAATAATTTTTAATCATTTAATCAAGTTCAGAATGGGCAGATGCCATTCACTGGGCAGTGTATCTATTTAATCTTAAAATAGCTTGTAAAAGGCACCTATATTTAGTGGCAGCTCCAGAGTAGTGAGTGTAATGTTGATATTGACGGGCTGCTGGCAGCAGAGAGACTTCACACTATGTTGTATTGATCCGGAGGAGGTACTGACAGGTTATCTGCTGTCCCACACCAAGAGTCAAAGTGCCCTTCACAAACGCAAGACCTGAGGCCAACTCCTACAACAGAGAACTGCACAGGGTTTTATATATAATAATCATGATAAATATGTAAACTTTCAGTAAACTAACAGTGTTGTGTGTTCACTGAAGAAGTAAAAAAAAAAAAAAACACTTTAAAGGTCCTGTCTTACTCCAAATTGACTCTTGTGAGCTTTATGCATTGAAATAATGCTGTTACGTCATCAGCAGTGGAGTTGTATTTTGTTTCATTCTGACATGTCTGAGTAATCTTATTATTAGTCTGAATCTGTCTGCATCTTCAAAGCTCAAAATGGTCTGTTTTCTTTAAGATCAAGTCATGAATAGGTCATGTTCAATTTAACAGTTACCTTTTATGTTTAGTTCAGTAAAGATTGGCAATTCCAGAGCTGAACTCATACAAATTATTCTAGTGAAAGTTGCATTGAGTTTAAAAACGCAGTGAAGCACTTCCAGTAGTACCACATGACATCACAAGGTGGAACAGAGCGTTTTCTGTTAAAGAAGTCAGCCAGTGTGCTGAGGAAATGAAATTTTAACCAAAGTAGAAAACAGCGTAATATGGATTCTTTAAATTTGCATGAGGGATTTATTTATTTATTTGACAGTGCATTCATACATAGTCAGAGCATGCAGCTGACAAGGTGCTAATTCTTAACTCTTGTCCCTGGTTGGGCTTTTCCCTACACCAAACATTGTTGAATTGTGTTGATGGTTTTGTCTTGCCTTGAACTCATCTCTAGAATTATTCCTGGTTGATTTCCTTGCTAAATATATAGAAAAACTTCCCCCATATTTTAATAAATCTGCATACTTTTTCTAACTTCTGACCTTTTGTCAACTGTTTACCAAAAATAGTTTGAAATTTGTACCATATATTGTATTAGCAGGTTTGTATTTACTTCTCTGGAAATGCATTGTGCTTTTTCCCTTTCGTACACCACTTAGTCACTCTCCATGTTGCCACAAAAATGATATCCTACTCTGCCTGAAAACCACTTGTGTTTCTGTGGCTTTTACTGATGTTTTAAATGCACAACACGTCAGCGAGGATGTCTTTTTTAACTGTCCTCCTACATCTTACATCTTTGTGAATAATTAGAAAACACATATTCAAGCACATAGAGTGTTACTTGAAACACCTTGCCTCAGTGGACCATCTGGCGTGCTGCGCTCTTGTCCCGTTGCATATGCATGGGTGTGAGTCATGGCCGTGAGAACCTCCTCACACAGAGCAGGAGCAGGATGGGGGACTATGAGACCACCTTGTGTAAAATACCAATGCTTCAGGGCTCATCTGTGAAGAACGGACTTTACTTTGTGGAGCTCAAGTGAAACAAGACAAAGAAGGAAGAATGTCTCATTTATCAATAGTTATTGTATTGAAAATCATTTTAGACATATTGGGTCATCCAGATTTAGAACGTAATGCACATTCAGTAGCCTTATGAACTAAGAATTATTGGATCATTTAAATTTGAGGTATCTTGACCGGGGATTATGTGAAGCCTGGTTGAATGGGCAGTCAAGGAGGAAGCTAAACGTAATGGTGACATTCCAGACAAGATTGTATAATAATAATACTTGTACTGCCTTTCCCATGTCTTCAGGTTGGCATTTTCCTTAGTAATTCCTTTACAAATTCACACAAGGTTTTGGTCTCTCTTTGTTTGACTTGAAGTTACAGCTCCACTTTGCTGCTGTTTGTTTCACAAGACTTTTTTGCATTGAAACTTGTGTTGATTAGACAGATGTTCTGATTAGGCTTATTATCCCAACTCACTGATGTAATAAATACATTCCCATTAATTGTCTGCAGTAATTAGGACTCCAATTATGGTTCTGCCAAACTGTTATTAAAGTTAAGAATAGTCAGACCAACTCCTACTTCCTTCAAATACAGCCTGTGACTCGAGGCTCAATAACAACACATAACCTTTGTGAATCTGTGTTTGTCAGAAAAAAATAATGCAAGGGTGAGGAAAAGAAAATAAATCAGCTGTAACTGTGGTCACACTTTTGGGCTTATAAATCTCAATTATTTACTTATTTACTATAGACATCTTCTTTATCATAATTAACCCAGCAGATTGAAAATCAAAACCACTTATTTCTCACTAATACACTTTTAAATATATGAGTTATTGTGATTGCAGGTGATGGTCAAGTGGATTTTGAGGAGTTCATGACGATCCTTGGACCCAAACTCCTGTCATCAGAAACAAGAGAGAGTTTCCTTGGCAGCACAATAGACACCATCTTCTGGCAGGTAAGAAGAAAAACAACATTTTTGCTTTGAGAACGATTGTTGTTTTATTGTATTCTATTGTGTGGTAATTAAATGTGATTGTGGCACAACTTATCAGTTGATACATTGTAGTGATATCACTCTGGGAGTGCTCTACGTGCATGTGTATTGGCGGATGTTCACCATTTACCACGGAAAGACAACGCAAACATTACCAAATACTGCTAAATAAGTTTTAAGATTGTCTGAAACAAATAAAAAAGATTTAAAGGACACATTTTCAGCCTGTTATCAATACGAGTGTTAACAGTTTAGGTGTTTTTCAACAAAAAAGGGGAGAGTTACAGTAAGTGAAAACTGTTGGTAGTTAGGTTGTGACTGTAATATTATTTTAGATGGAGCACAAATCAGCTCACCTGTTATATTTCCAACTGAGTCAGTTCTTTATGGTCAGATTGTGGTAAAATTAAACTCAAATTAAAGTCTAACAAAGCCTCAGACAGAGCAATGCCTACAGTTAGCATCACACCCCCAGGGAAAGTTGCTGCAAAATAGTATAACCAACACCTGGAACACCTGGTAATAGTTTCATGAATTTTAAGTAGTTCTTGAACTCTTTGTACATGTGTAATGACTTGAAAGATATAAAATTGCACTGAAAAAAAAAAATATATATATATATATATATATATATATATATATATATATATATATATATATATATATATATATATATATATATATATATATATATATATATATATATATATATATATATATATATATATATATATATATACACACACACATTATAAAGTGAATCAGCAACTATGAATGTTAATGCCCTCTTTCAACTATGAATGTTAATGCCCTCCTTGTCAAATTAACATGCAAGTCAACATACAAGGACAGTGTGTGCGGAATTTATAGCCCGGACAGAGGAGCCAAAATGGTCTTTCCACTAGAATAGCCAGACAGAGGGAGCTGCCAGAAAAGGTGACAAAGAAGACAAAGCTGAAACCAGTTCTGAGCTTTGGAGTAAAACGTGCTGAGTTTGATGGAGTGAAGGAGAGAGTGATGGATGTGCGAGGTGCAGACAGTGGACAGAGAGAGAGAATAGAAACAGATGAGGCAGAGGAGAGGGAGAGACAGGACGGGACACTTGTCATAGGCAGTAACATTTGATGTCTCAGACGTGATCACCGTGTTGCCCCAGGACACCTCTCTAGGGCAGAATTACAGTATTGGGAGAATGGTATTTGCAGATGGGGCAATGCACTGCCAGACCCATTAAGATGCTCCAGTGACTTCTCCGGTACCTATAGGCACTGTTGCCTCTGCAACAATCTGTGTGGGTCCAGGCTGTTACCTGCAATAGCACTAAAATGAGTGCTATAAGTGAACCATAAAGTGTTGGTACTGGCTGAAAACAAAAACAAAAAAAGAAAAAAAAAAAGTGATAATACTCAAGACCTCCTGTGATTGCTTGTGTACGTGTTGAAAAATGTGATTATATATATTTATTATATTTAATACACTGAAAAATATAAATTTTTGATAATGAGATATACCCAAATTACATATTCACAAATATTGAACCTGATCCTTTCTTAGACTTAGACAAACTTTATTGATCCAAAGAAAAAAATAAATAAATCAAAAGTAGCAAGAGAGTAGTCAACGAATAAGCAGATTCAAAAGAAGTAGCAAGAGAGTAGTCAACGAATAAGCAGATTCAAAATAAGGAGCAAGAGAGTAGTCAAAAGAAGTGACAAAGAAGACAAAGCTGAGACAAGTAGTCAAATAAGGCATAATTATACTGTATGTGTACAATCAATATATATATATATATATATATATATATATATATATATATATATATATATATATATATATATATAATGTATCTAGAGAGGGAGAACCCGTGAAATATTGATTGACATGATATAGGGTTATCTAATACATAAGGGTGAGTTGTTTGGAAAATGGTATGAATAAAGTCTTGTATCTCTCACTGTCTGAGCAGAGCTGTAGGAGTCTGTTGGGGAATGTGCCCCTCTATAGTCTGGTGCAATGGGTGAGCAAAGTTCAGTTACTGGCTATATGTATTTGGCTGAGTCTACGTATTTGCACTTCAAATTTTAACTGTCTTCCCATGATTCACATTAAATATTGTCACCTAAAACCCAGTAATACAGTCATAATGCTAATTAATGTTTTATCGTGGTTTAGTCTTGGCAGGGCCCATTATTAGTTTGAATGCAACTGATGACAGATGAAATAATAAGCAAAAAACAAAAAACAAAAAAAAACACCTCACATATCAGCAGAGAGTGATTTATCAGTACAATTTTCCCTCCAGTTGCACAGATGAGTAGTTGCTGCAGGTAGAACAGTTGTGTACAGCTCAGTTTACTTTGTTAATGGGCTGTGCGATGTGACTCAGCCTCAGACTCACTCATTTCGTGCTCACTCAGTCTGCCATAGGTCACACAGTTACTTGAACATTTCAATTCATTTCCTTTATTTCCTCTGTCTAGCCACTGCTGGTGCACTTATTTGTTTGTTGTTTTTGCATTTATTGTCAGTTGTTGTCGGGATGTTAATGTTTAATGAGACAGCTGCAGTTAGATGGCAATAGCAGAAATGGTTATGAGTCCAGGTTTATGACAACACAATGGCAAAACACAATGACACAAACACTTGTTCTAAATATACCTATATTTCACAAATGCATTTGGAAGAGAAAAACATATTCTTGGCTGTAGGGACAATAACTGTGTTCTAAAATGTCCCTTTTAGAGGGAAATATATATTTAATGTTTATTTATATTTTCAAGGTTAAGTGATAACCTGAGTATATATTACCAAAATAGTCTCCTGTGTTGTCATTTCTTTTAATGTTACATAAAGTCTGACCTCCAAAAATGTTTAAAGGTGCACTATGTAACTAGAGGGTCCACCACATGCTTGTCTTCATTAAGTTATTATTGCTATTCAGATTCAGATTCAGATTCAGAAAACTTTATTGATCCCATAAGGCAATTCATTTGCAGCATCTCAGAGCAAACACAAACACAAACAAACACAAAGTGTGTCAGTCCAATTGCCGTCCACCAGTGGAACTCAAAATAAAAAACAAATTGCAGTGTAAAACGTTCATAAAACTGTACCCTTAGAATTTAATAATTTAATAGCACAGGGCACGAAAGAATTAGAAAACCGGTTGATTTTCCGTATTGGAGCATAAAACCGACGCCCTGAAGGCATGAGAATAAAATCATTAGCCAGAGGATGGAGCTGCTGGAATGATTCACAGTATAGCATTACTTACTACTGAAATAAGCAGGTGACCACCAGGCCAAGTTACAGATCTGTGGAGAGGAGACCCCGCTCAAAAGAATGCATGTTTTGTGTAAGTTATTAAGTTTTAACTCCTGGAATTGAATTTAATAAGACAAAAAAATAAAAATAAAAAAATAAAATAATGCTTTATAGCCCTTTTGAAAGGCTGCCATGTGTTGTGCTTTTTAAATCCATGTTTCAGGTCCATTGCTCCTGTAAACATCACATCTCAAACATGAACTAACTTGTAACCAGTACATTTAAATTTAACCTCAAGCTGCTCTTGACTCTGACCAAAATGCTTAGTGGTGCCATTTTCATCAACATGATTCAAACCACGCACACAGACCCACCACATGGCATCTCACTCTGGGCTTGTCAAATGCCTCAACTGCCTTTTACACAGTTTCTCCATCTGACATCTCACTCACTTTTTTCCTTCTTTTTTCCATTTTCATATTTACTGCTGGTAAGATTGTCAGTGTGTGCTTTCATTAACTCAGCTGGAGTTTGACTACACTTGTAAATGGCTTATTGGACAGACACCAGTGCTAATGTGGCACATCCTCACCACATGAATCACACACTCACCTTCCCACTCACCCAGACCTCTCCACAGCGTTTAGTTCAGATCTCATTGTGCTGTATGGATCATAAGAACCAGTGGAGTGAAAAACTGCCAAGATTTGACTTTTGTTCCATAATTACAGCTACTAGAAAGTGTTTTATAATACACATAGCTTACAGAGCTGTTATAAAAAATAATGCCTGGGTATCACATGCATAATTCAATCACTACCCACACGTGATGTGATAAACTAATACAGGAGCCACCGTAGACTGTATATAAATGATCATAGCTAATCTGCTAGGTGCTGTGTTCCAAATAGGAGGTCCATTGACTCCGGCTCCAACTGACTTTACTTTGAAAAGCTGTCACTCCTCTCTATGTGACTGCTGCTGCATTTTGAATGTTTGTATTAACACACTGTACATGATCCTAGTGTTTTTATTTCACCATTTCGAACTCGGCTCCTCGCTCCTGTAACTGCTAACACTGTGAGCTTAATTTGATTGGAGCCAAACACTATATGGCTAACATCACACTCCCTTAATCCAATTCTTTATACAGTCTATGGGAGCCACAGATGCCTTGGGACAGACTGATGGAAAGGTGTCTGCTCCATCAGCCCCTCCAGGCACCATCAATCCCCTACATTCATAGCCAAAATGGATGAATTGTCTTGCTCAGGAACACAATGAACCTGCCCAGGAACTACAGGTGGAATTTAGCACTGGTGTTACAACCTGGTACAATGCATCTCTCCTGTTAAAGTTAATCTAAAATTGTGCACTGTCCTTGTCTCATTAAATAAATAAATAAATAAATACATAAATACATAAATAAATAAAGTAATAAAGTAATAAAGTAATAATAAATAATAATAAGAGTATGAACTGACTGGAGCTGAGATTGAACTACACCTACAGTTTGTTATTGTGCAGCATAAATGGCTTCTGTCTTCTATTCACAGTCTCATTTTTGTACATCAACTTGACACAATATAATGCTGACCATTTTCAGGACTCTATACCCCCCAAGTAGATTACATAACATTTAACTTCATAATTTAGTTTTATGTAACATTTTAAAAGTGTAATTTTAATGTGCTGAC